CATCCTCTTGCAGAGTCTCATGCCCAGATTATTGGGCCGCTGCCTTTGAGGGCCGGGGAAAAACCCCATGCCGTCCAGAGCCCGCGACACTGGCTGCCTCGGCCAGACTTCCCGACAAGCTGCAGCAAAAAAGGGACAGTCCCGGGAGAACCTGGCAATCAATTTTGCAGGCCAGATCACCTAGCCACCAACTGCGGCATGCCACAGGCCCGGTGTTAATTCCCAGTTGAGCCCCAAGGAGAAAACACACTGTCTGGAGTCCGAAAAACATCCTGGGGCTAGGACCGCGCCCTGCCCCTTGTGCCATCCAGATGCCCGCTAGCTCCAGCAGCGCCTCTGGCTGGCTGCGACTTGCCCCTTTCCTGTGGGCACGCACCAACCTCACCGCCAATAACGGCCACGCTGTCAACTCCCTGAGCAGCTTAGGTGGGCGGGGCGGGGGGAGCTCGGAGCCAGGATCTGACCCCAGGGGAGGGCAAATGTGCGTTGGGAGAACAAGATGAGTTTGGAAAAAGCTGGGGGGACGGAGGGCCACAGGGAGGCGGTATCTTGGGCAGTCCTGGCTCAAGCAACCCCCAAATTTGCCCCCATAATGCTCCATGGGGCACTGAGATGCAGCTACTTCTGGTGCGGGGCAGCGGGGGAACAGCTGCACATAACACCCCATGGAGATAGCTCGCCTGGCACTGAGATTCAGCCACCTCTAGAGCGGGGCAGCTGGGGAACCACCGCACATAACACTGCATAGGGCTGGCTCACCGGATGCTAAGATGCAGCCACCTCTGGGGCAGGGCAGCCGGGAAACAGCCACGCACACCAACTGAAGCCCGGTCACACCCCACATCACGCCTGGTAGCCACAAGCAGAGTGAAACCCGCCCTCCCCACTGTACACAGACATTGCTAACGCCGAAGCTTTACCCCACGGCCTGTCCTTGGCCCCCTTCCCAGCCCCTCTGATCCCTGGGACCCCAGGGTCAGACCCCCACCATGCCCCTGTCTCTGAAGCTACATACGTCAAAGCCGGTGTTGGGGTCCCATCCGACGTGGGTGACATGCCTGGAAGGAGAACAAAGATTAGCCAGCTCTAGAGGGGGCCAGGTCCCGTGCCCCATTCCCGGCCCCCCTGAGCCAGCCAGCCCCCCGCCCTGGGGCCAGACAGGAGCCAGCACCCCCTAGAGGGGCCAGGCCCCACGCCCCATTCCTGGCCCCCCTGATGCCAGCTCTCACTTGAATCCGCTTGGGGCGCCGATGTCGGCCTTGGAGATCTTTTTCTTGCCCTTCTTCTTCTCAGTGGCCGTGGGCACCGGCAGCCCCCGGTACCGGGACGAGGTGATGTCCGGGTTCTGGATGTCCATCGTCACCAGGTTCAAGGAGCCGGAGGGGGAATTCGGCTGTTTGCTGGGACCTGCGGGAGAGAGAGATGGGGCTGTGGGGAGCAGGGTGGGGGGCTGGGCAGGGGGTGCTCTCCCCTGGCAGTCAGGGCTGGGCGCTGGGGGGCGCTGTGCTGTGGGGAGCGGGGTGGGGGGCTGGGCAGGGGGTGCTCTGCCCTGGCAGTTGGGGCCGGGCGCTGGGGGACGCCGTGGGGCAGGGAGTGAGGCAGGGGGCGCTCTCCCCTGGCAGTCAGGGCCGGGCGCTGGGGGCGCGCTCCCCTGGCAGTTAGGGCCGGGCACTGGGGGGGCGCCATGGGGCAGGGGGCTCAG